TAGAAAATAAACCCATTAGCTCTGACTTTTATTTATCACACACATTACCCATGAAGGCTTATATATTCTTAATGGTGTTTAAATTTTACTAAAAAAATACAAATAGCTGGACTAGCAATGACATTGGATTTTTACATCATATAAGGTCCTTTCAATATCCATTTAATCAACATAATGAAATGTGTGAGCAGATCTGAAAGCAGCTGTTTATATTCTTGTATTTCAGAAGTAAGTTACATTTTTCTGAAAAGGTAAATAATTGATATTGTACCTGGCACTAGTAGATCTCCCATGGTTTTCCTCATGGTCACTGTGAAACTTAAGGAGCTAGGACATGGCATCCATCCAAACAGGAAGGAATCATTGTTCAGGTGGAGGAGGGGATGCTTTGGGGAAAGGAGGCAGCATGCAGATGTACGAAAGCAGCCCTCCAGTGTTTCCATAAGCCACAGAAGCATAAGCTTTCTACTTGGGAACTGTGTTCTGCCACTAACAATGCCAGCTGGAGCTTCTAGGAAGGACATGAGCAGGTTTTTTTCTCCCTATAGTTCAGTCTCTACTCCTTTATGAGTCCTAGGAAAGCAAGTTGTGGAGCATTGAAGGGATCCAGGAGAAGAATAGACAAATTGTTTATATATACAACCCACACTTGAAGGTAATTTGAGAGGGAAAACTGTACCGCAGATTTTGTTTTGGGACCTTTTTTGTTTCCCTAATCCAGCTCTTGTTTTGGAATTAAAAATAAAAAAAACAAATCTTTAATTACAATAGAAGACTCCTCACATCACATGTCCATTCACCTATTTTTTTTGAAAAGACTAATAATCCAAAAAGGATGTGTCCCTTCTATCTACTGATCTTATAATATGCACAGCTCAAATGGTGGCACAATATAGCGAACCCACCGAGCCCTGATCCTTTTATATTCATGGTTTTGGGATCTATCTGGATGATATGACACACACATCTAGTTTGTGTTTCTATTAATACACTCTGACAAAAATGTCTGTTCCTATTTTGGTTGACATTACATTATTTCTGTAGGATTCTGTTTGTAGTTGTTTCTCATAGAAGTAATTGGGAGGATTCCTTGTAAGGCAAACACACAAGGGCTTCATAGGGCTTGTTCTTTGCCTTGTGTTTTGGATTCATAGTATGTAAACCTGCAACATTTGAAGGTATTGACAATTTATTTCTCATTCAGCAGCAGCCTGTGAGCTCTCATTTCTTTCCAGCCCCACAAATGGGATTTTCTCCCCCCCCCTCTCTCCAGTTTGAAAGAAGTGTATTTTCATGTGTATTTCATTTACAGTTATCCAACAAGCTCATGTTAAGTACTTTCTTCACCTTGACTTGTCATTTGGGTTCCATCTTTTGTGAAATTCATCATTTTATTTCTTGACCATCTTTTTTTTCCCCTTACCACTTTTGCTCCCCTTAACAGTTTTCCCCCCCATTGGGGCTGTTGGCTGTGTCTTCTGTTCTATGTGTCAACACAAGAATGAAATTATGAAAAGTGTCATAGGATGTCATCTTTTAAAGAAAATGCAAGAAGGTAGACAATGATGTCACAGCATTTCTGGACCATGCTATAACACTTGCTTCTCCTAGTTGCAAGGCAGACTTCAAAAATTACATATTAAAACACTTTCCCACTAGATACAGGACTTGAAATGACCTCCTTTCCCAGTCTCTTTAGGAGACTTATCAACACATATGTAATATTGGTTACTTTTTCTCAATGCCATGACAGAACACATAACAAAGGCATCTAACAGAGTTGGAGTCCATCTTGAACCACAGTTTAAAGGGAAGACAGTCTATCATAGTAGAAAGTGAGGTCCCAGGCACATTGTGTTGGGAGTCACAATGAAGAGAAAAGGGACTCGGATTCTCAAGTGGGTTCTTCCTCTTTATCCAGTCCAAAACAGCAATCCATAAAATGATACTGCCTACATTCAGGATCAGTCCTTCCTCCTTCTTTAAACCTTTCTGAAAATGTCCTCACACAGAATTCCTACAGGGTTGCTCTTGGCACCTGTAATCTTTTACCACAAAAGTGATTCAGCCTCATCAGACCAACTAAAGTCAGGCTTTTCTTTATCTGGTCCACAGCATGAGGTGTCTGTAATATTCCCAAAAAACATTGTAATTCCAACCTGTAGCTTGATAGATAGTGGCTTTAGTAATTCAGAAATGGGAAAACCCTAATGTAGTCATATTTATCATTATTTTCTTTTATTCTATTGAGTTAAATGAAGCTGTTCTTACTCTGATATGGTAATGACATTGTCTTAAATATCCTTCTCTCATTTTTAAATACTTCCCTTTGTAATAGGGTCTTAAATCGAAAGTGGATTTTATAGGCGGCACTTTTCCTGAAACCGTTTCTTAACTTCCTCAAAGATTCCTACCACATGTTCTGCTGGTGCTCATCAAATTCCAGTATTTGTTTATGCATGCTTGTCCATTCCTCTTTTCCTTGGTTGTTGACTATCTTGTGATGATTTATGCCACTTTTAACACTGTTGCTTTACAATAAACAGTTTTGCCATCTAGGAAGGGACTCTTGGATCCTATGCATCTACTTGTTGTGGATGGTTCTTCTCACCACCCTGGTCCCACAGCTGCATCAGCCTCAAAATGAACATTTGGATGCTATATTAATTATGAAGCTATCGGCCGATGGGTAGGGCTTCTTATTGCGTAGCTCTATTTTAATTATTGACCTATATCTACTAGTCCATGTATTTGTACATGGTCTTATCTTACCAGAGAATGCCTGACTCTCATCCTCTCTTCCAGGGATCATATGATGACTCCTACTCTGACTATGCTTCCAGAATCCTCGTCTCCTAGTCCCGTCTATCATTCTGCCTCATTGGCCGAACAGTACTTTATTCATTAACCAGTAAGAGAAACATATGCAAAACAAAAAACATTCCCCACCATCTCCTCTTTTCTGCCTAAATAAAAAGAAGGGTTTTAACTTTACCATAGTAAAATTATATATAACAGAACTGATCAAGTAAGAACTATAGTTACAATATTTAGTCTACTAACATTTAGAAAGATTTAAAGGTCTATTCTATCATCCATCCTATCTTTGTGAGTCTAAAGTCTTATATGTAACTTATCTTTATCACAACTAATAAAACCATCACCATAACTATCTGTCTTCCCATTAAAGACCACAGAAGGATAATATGTAAATTCTACAATTGACAGAGACATCTTGCTGCCTGGTCAGTCACCCAAAGTTCATCTGTAACATTGAAGCATCCATTTTCAGCCAAAGGCCACAGTAACATCTTCCATCATCCACTGAATGCTACCCTTCTCTAGTTACAACTCTATTTCTTTCATCTTCTTTTCTCTGTAGCATACCATCCAGCATAAAACACAATGCATGGTACGAATGTTTACCATGTCTCCACCAAAAGGATATAAATTCAGTGAGATGATAACTTTATTTTGTTCACTCATCTGTTCTTATTAACCTACCCAGAATATTTGGTTAGCTACTTAACAAATTTGAGATAATTAATGAGGATAAAGGGATTGATGAATGGACAAATAAATATGGATCCTATAGGTTCCGATTTGGAATTTGTTTTTCACTGCCTGGTGGTGAGTGATCATGACATTACTGAATTTGACACATTTCAAACATTTCAAACATTTGTACAAATGTACATTTAGCCTTTAGACTATGTTAAGGCCCAACACTTGTCAATACATACTGATAAGTGATTTAGTCTCTTTAATGTGATGGCTTTACTTGGGCAATTCTTCTGTTGATGCCTTTGTCTGCGTTTCACAGTATGTTTATTTTGTCCTTTTTTTTTTTTTTAAACTTTCGGATGTTTGTCTGTTTTATTAGCTATACCATGATGGCTGTGGGTATATAAAGGTTGGAAAAGCATGGACAGCTGCTGGGAGTTCCCTCAACCTTTGCTGTTGGTTCTCAGTTCTCAGCACAGCAAGGATGCTGCTTCCCTTCTGCCCAGGCGATTTGCCCAAACTTCCACTTCAGGGCAGGATGCTTTCAAAATCAAATGTTAAAGGCAACGGAACACCTGGAGTCAGCTTATGTTACACCCCCTCTTTCACTCAGTGAATGAAACCTGGGAACTCTGTTTCTCTTCTGCCTCTGCACTGGGGAATCTAAGGCTGTGATGTGTCACTATTCCCTGGGGTAGTCTGAGGCCTGAGCATGCGCACCAGCTGCTACCAATTGTTGCAGACCGCAAGAGTCTCGCCCTTTCTACGTTCTCCGGGGATTCCCTCCCGCACCCTGCGTCCTGAGATCCTCCTCTCTCTTGGGTGGTGACCGGGTTAGGTCGGGCTGGTTGGAATGTCTAGGGAAATAACACATGGAGTTCACCTCCTCGCCTCTAGCTGCGCGGGCTCGGCGCCTCCGCCCTTGTTCCCTGGTGGCTCACAGCTTCCGAGTGAAAGCCGCTAAGAACGGCTTGAATGAAACGTGTGTGGGTTTAGTGTGTGGTAAATCCGCCAGGGGATCCCGTCTCTCCACAAACCAGAAGCTCTGTTAGGAGGAGGGCGAGAGGGAGGAGGCCAGGAGCGAAGCGCGCGCCGTGGCTGAGCGGCTGGGAGAGGCCCGGCCACCTCCCCTGGCGACCACGCACCGCTCCGCCTGCCTGCGGCGGTTCCAGGCACCGCGCTCTCCGCCGGGGCTGTGATGGTGGTGGCAGTGACAAGCTCCTGCACCCCACAGCACGGTGCACAAAGCAGCAGCGCCCTCTCTTCCCTCTCCCTCCACCCCAAGCCTTCTCCTTCCGTGCCCTAAGCACAGCTGCCGGCGCCATCCCCCTTGTCAACTTTGAGCTGAAGGAGCAACAACTTTGACAGCGGCCGCGGGTTTCGAATCTGGCTTCTTCTTGGCAACAGTAGCCCGGAAAGTGGCCGGAGTTAGACCAGGCAAGAGTTTCCACTGAGCATCAGTGTTGCCTCTGTTTGCGACGGGTTCTCTGCCAGCCAGCCAGCTAAGAGTGGGATTGTGACAGCCAGTGCCCTGGTGGAGGGGACTTGTTTTTCTTTCTCTCTGGAGACCTGGACTAGCGACTGGATAAAGCTGTACCAAAAGGATGTAAATAGCAGAGCAACTGTTACCAAGAAGGCAGCCACCACCCAAAGGCAGGGAGGAACGCCGGGCTTTCTCCAGGCTGCGCCCAGTGGCAACATTAGGCAACAATCAGGTGGTGTTTGCAACTTTTCAAGGTCAGCTTGGGGGATCGGCTTTTCCCTCGGAACCTTCGGGTGCACAGAGCTTGGGTTAGATTTGGCTGCGAAATGCACAGGACGCCAAACCTGGAAGGATAGTAGGGGGTGTGTTGCTCCCTCCCCACACGCCAGCTCTGTTCCCTGCTCTCCCAGCAATCTTCAGCTCCTCTCCACTACCCAGTGGTGAGTATGTGACATGTGTCTAACTCCCTGCACTAAGTTTGGCAGCAGGTGTCGGTACTAAGATAGAGAAGGGCTACTAGGAGCGCCCTTGCCGAGCCATGCCGGCCCGGGGCGCGCCTCTTTCGCGTACATCGCAGCTGCTGCTCCTCCTGCTGCTGAAGGTTTCTGTCTCTACTGCCCTGAGCTTTGTCCCTGCGACCAGGAATGGAACTTGTCTGGGGGAGAGCTGTTCCCCACTGCTCCAACGCAGCAGCAGGGATGCCCAGGGACCAGGAAATTCTGCCAGAGAGGTTCTGCGAGTCCGTATGCCCAGGGAGCAACTGGAAGCCGAGGTGAGAGGGGCTACTTCCTGGGACCTCCCACTGGCCAGGGGCGGCAAGACAGGTGTGAGTGAAGAGGTGGCAGGTGCAGCAGCTGCTGGGCCCTTGGGTCCTCCAACCAAGCCACCTGGTGCCTGGAGGTGGAAAGGTGCCCAGAGTAAAGAGTCATTCCGAAATTTGGGAAGAAAAGACCCTATGGACCGCCACCTTTTTCTTCAGACTTCGGAGGGGGAAGAGATGAGTCCCAGGGACTCTGGCATTCCGCGGAGCAGCCAGGAGCAGAGTGTGAAAACGGAACCTGAACCCAGAGATCTTTTTTACTGGCCACGGAGAACTGGGCAACTCCAGGGCTCCCACCAAAAGCCTTCTCTGGGGCATGAAGGGAGGACCATTGCTCCCCCAGGCAGGGCACTACCACAAAACGGGTCTGTAGATGACTGGGTCCCTGACCAAGGGGGTCCGCGCCGTGGAAACAGCACCAGCAGGCGCGTGAGACTGAAGAACCCCTTCTACCCCCTGACCCAGGAGTCCTATGGAGCCTATGCAGTCATGTGCTTATCTGTGGTGATCTTTGGGACCGGCATCATTGGTAACTTGGCAGTGATGTGCATCGTGTGTCACAATTACTACATGAGGAGCATCTCCAATTCTCTCTTGGCAAACCTGGCCTTCTGGGACTTTCTCATTATATTCTTTTGCCTACCCCTGGTCATCTTCCATGAGTTGACTAAGAAGTGGCTTTTGGAAGATTTCTCTTGCAAGATCGTGCCCTATATCGAGGTAATACCTTCTAGCTACTGTCTTTATCTGTTTCCAGAATTAAAGCAAAAGGACCGCGGTTGGATGTTCCTACATACCTGCTTCTTTTCTCTGAATGTCTTTTTTTTTTCCTCAGTCACTTATGCATGCATGCGTGTGTGTATGAAAGAAAACAGCTTTGCTAAATCACCTTCAAACTACGCTGCTCCTGGCCTATGGGGGGGGGGAGGTGGTCGGTCCTATAACATGTACAACCATCCTCTGGATATGGCAGTATTTCTTCTGACTTGGCACCCATCCGAGAGCACAGGGTTAAATAATGGCCCGTCATTGTGATTGTCCTTATTGGAATTGGAACCTAGTAAAAGAGGAGAGCGAGTCATTAGCATTTATTTCCCAAAGTTCTAGTGTTTCATTAAGACTCCTCCATCTTCCCATCCCCCAGGGAGACTATTGAGCATCTTCTAAACTACCAAAGCTGGAGTAACATTTTATATATAAAAGCAAATCAAGCTTTGCTTTTCAATTGGCCTGGTGATGTATTAGGAACCTCCCAAACTAGTTTAAGTTAGCTATTGTCTACCCTACTACTTCATCTAAGTTCTCAGGTCTTCCTTGTTTCATTGTGGATCCTTCTCAACTTTTAAAAACAGCTCATTCTTCTAAATGAACTTAAAAATAAGATGTTAGCCCCATCCCTGGTAATCTAACATTTATAGAGTAAATGATACAAAACTGCTACTACTATGGCTGTGAAGAATAGACTATTTTTAAGGAATTTACTTTTAAGATAAAAAACATTTCTGAAGAAAACAGCTTCCAAACTTTGGATATGTAAATCATTTGTGCAAAGAAAGGGTCTACTGCTTCGTGCTAAAGCTACTGTACCAGTCATTGCTCTGGGAGGTGGAATTTGCTCTGCAAATTGGCCTCTCTTTAAACACCAGCCCTTGGAACCTGCCCAAGTATTTGGCTGCCAGTTGTGGTTTTAGCCAGCTGGGCCTTGATTTTCTCCATTCAGTCTGTCCATTTCATTTATGGAAACACAAGAAGGGAAACTGTAAATATCCCAGCGTCTCTGATCTGTCTGGCACCAGGGCCAGTTGACACTATGTTCAACATTGTCTCAGACTAAAACCTCCAGGATAAGTAAACAGAAAACAGTGTCTACTTAGAAGGTCCAGAGCCGGAGCCAGTCAATAAGACAGACCCTCTGTTATTCTGTCTGCACTCAGATGTAGGCCCATCCATGGCTGCTAAATCAGCTGTTGCTACTTACCAGAGTCCAGGGCCTCCCTTGTTGCCAAGCATGAAGCAATTCTGAAACACTGTCATTTACTGGGGAGGCAGTTCACTTTTTAATTTGAGAGTGCATAGGTGAATTGCATAAAGGAATATGTGTCGATTTACAATTGTCTTTTCAAAGGCAATTTTAGCGTAGGTTCTTGTTTTAGCATAGGTTTTTGTTGTAGCTTGAGTTTTTGTTCAGCTCTGGTTCTTGTTTTTAATAATGAAAAAGACTTAGGCAAGAAGAGAGTTAAAAAAAAATAAAAAATGAAAAGCGTAGAGTTCAATAGGAGAGACAGCCTGTAAGCAGGAACTGTGTTGACTTGCCTCAGTGGGAAGTAAAGTGTTGGGTCAGGGTTGGTTTTATACTTGGATATAAAAGCAATAAAGAAGGCAGAACAAAAGACAAGGGAAAGAAACGCATGACCAAAGTTACAAAAGGAAAACCATGCGTGCAAAGAATGATATCAAACAGAAGGAATAATATAAAAACTTAGGTAAGTTTAATGACACCTAACTTTTCTAAGTAATTGGAGTTTATTTCACATTTTAATACCCTCTTCACTGATTCTGAAGTTTTTATTTTGCTTTTAGTGTTTTGAAACTGGGTCTCATGTAATGGAAGCTAGCCTCAGATGTACTGTGTAGTTGAGGATGTCCTTGAACTCCTGATTCTCTTGTTTCTATTTGTGAAGTATGAGGATTATGGGTGTGCTTCACAACATCTATCCTGAGAGTTCACAAACATAGTAACAATTTGTTCTATCTTTTCAGCTTGGTTTTCTCATTGAGGCTTTTGCTAAAGCCTCTCTTCTTACTAGTAAAATCTTCCCTTACTCTCTGTAATTTTGCTTAGTTATTTTATAGCCCTATCTCTTCTCCATTACTGAAATTTGATTTTATTTTTTTCTAAAGAGGCAAAGGCTTGCTTGAAGAGACTTACTTAACACATGGTTTATAGTACACAATTTTATTATATACTTTTACTATGACAATATACATGGTAAACAACTTATCACTACAGTTCCTTCCGCTGAAGTAATTTTATAACACTTTGGCTTGCTTTATAAAATAACCATTGAACCATGGTGTCAGCTTCCTAATTTCCAATTTCTAAGGATAAAAACTACAGTTGCTATTCTCAAAGATGGAAAAAGTGTTTGGTCACTGCCCCAAGTCTTATTGCTGAATATGCAGGCCCTGAGAGGGAGGTTTTTTTGTGTATGGTATGAGTAGGGGAGGGCATGACGTTTGTTGGGGCATGATCAGGTTCAACACTTGTTTGGCATTGAGGTTGATCTGGGCAGAGGGAGAATTTGAACTATTTATGAAGATGCCACAAAGACCTCTACTAACACCAAGGCACTTCTACTATTAGGGTGGCCATGAAGAGATGTGACCAATTGAGTAAGAGGGCCTTTGTAGCCTGTGATGAGACCATCACTGGATAGAAGTTGCTTTCAGAAACGGGGTATAACCTTTAGTCCAATGAATCTCTTTGAAGAGTGCTGAAATCCACAGCTGTCAACCATACTCCATCATCACCTGGAAGAAACAATGTTTCATCCCAGAAAGAGGAGGCTAGAGCAACCAGGGTAGACAGCCAGTATCCACTACACTGGTTTTACCCTTTCTAAATTATATCAGACGCAACACTGGAGTTTTCATCCTCATTTTAATGCTGAAGGAAGGGATTTAGCAGATGTACCCAGGCAGAGTTACCTAGATGCACAGACTCAGCAGACTGGGTTGCAGTTTTCTGGTTAGAAAACCTTTATAAAGCAAAGTTGTATCAAAGATGGTTTTATTTTTATTTCTACTTCTTTGCATCTTTTGAAAAAAAAAGTATCCCTCTATCTATTAGATAAGAAAACATAAGAAGGTTAGTTAGCACCACTCACTATGTGAACTTCATAGCTTTTGCTATTCATAAAGTTTTCATTCTGTTTCTGCAAAAAAAAATCATGGTTGGTAGCTGACATGTTTTTTTAAATATAATAACCATTGCTGGACAGGAAATGAGGTGGTAGAGAAGGTGGGGAAGAGAACTTGAAAGGATTGGGGAGCCATCATCATAAACACATCCAGTTTAAAGTTGGCCCATCACATAAATATTAGGGAAATAATAATACTCAGAGAAATAGAGATACATATAATATTCATGCCATGGGTTGTAAAAAGAGAATGGTACAAGAGTTCCCTGCCATTCTAGCTACTCCAAGATGGAGCATGTGTTTAAAGGCACTGAGTATGGCAAGCAGAACAGCTCTTTGTTCGCTAGTTGATGGCTGGAAGCAAGTCAAAGCAAGTGTATCAGATGATCCCAGACAATTGCCAAACAATTCTTTCTGTTTAGGTGTTAATTATGGGTTTCAAGTGATAAAAGTTCTTCTGTAGTTTAAAGGACCCACACCTTCATGGAAAGGCAACATCTCCCAGTAAATCTCAGGTCATCACAGATTTAACTATTTGCCTGGATACCAGATCCCTGTGTAGAGATAAAAGATGTCTCAAGGGAACACATCTCACCAGGAATTCTGGTCAGAAATAATTTCTGATGAATCTTTTCTCACGAGGAGAGATGGCATTTCCAGTGGCTCTGGAAATGTTGGTTTTTATACTGTGTCAAATGAATTACTCTTACATCGCCTTAGATTATACTCAGCCCTGACATGTGAAGGAAGGAAGGGTAATCGGACATTGAGGATGGCAGGGCCAGTAAGTGTGAAATTCTACACAGAATTTCCTACACCCCACATTCAAGTAATAGCACATTTATCACAGCAGATGCTAAATTTGCTTTAGTGGGGGATTAGCTATTAGGTATTCTGATGGACTTTTAAGTGGACACATGCAGTTTTATGAGCAATTTGAAAGTTACTAATAATATTCTCTGGGAAAATGGACTCAATCTGTGAGAATGGTACTTAACAAATATTTTATGACTTCCCATTAATCCCATTTTAATCCTTTTCTACATTTCCTAGCATGAGCAAATATTGAGTTGGAGATTGCAGTGGGAAAAGGAATCAATTTCCCAGACAGTGCTTACATTGACACCCCTATCCTGGAAAAGTATGTGATGAAGTTAAATGAATTTGGAGCTTAATAAACAAAGAATATAGTAACCGAGCTTCAGGTGCAAATAGCTAACATGGTTGTTATGAAAATGAGACCATTTTGAAAGCTCATCAGTGGAGCGAGAGAAGGGACACACGTTTTGTTTCTCTCCTAGAATTATTATCGGACATTACGTTCTTAAGGATTGTGTATAAAGCAATAGCACCTGATGACTAAGAACAGTCTAAATAATTCATCGGTGTCTAGGAGCCTTTTTCATATATGCCATCAGGCTTCCATTGATCCACTGCCTATTCATCCATTACACATTAGCTTTTCTTCAGTGAAAGGCAACATGTTAGGAGAGATGGGAAGAGGAAAAGATGTGAAACTTCCCAAAGAAGAGTATCACAAATTAGCTATGGTTATTAAAGCTTTGAAAGAGTAATATAATGTCTTGCAGCATAACTAACACTGTAATATAGACCTTAAGGAAGTATTTGAGAAGTTATGGGATGATCTCAGATGGACCAGTCCATAATCATAATGAATTATTAGCAAAGATGGAGAAATTCAGTTAAAAACTCTGCTGCCTGTAATGTTCTTTTACATTCTCCTCACTAATTTAAATTCTTCCACTGCTTAGATCCATGTTGAAAAGTCATAGCTATGAA